AGTGGAGGTGGCCTTGGCTCTAAGCGGTGCTGCTCCCTCTATCTGTGACAGTGTCTAATGGCCCCTATAGAGGGGCCAGGGCAGAGCCACGAAGATGAGGAAGGGACCGGAGCAGCCGTCGTGTGAGGAAGGACTGAGCGAGCGGGGCCTGTCCAGCCTGGAGAGGAGCAGCCTGAGAGGGATGTGACCAACATGGACAAGGACCTGAGGGGAGAGTGCAGGAAGGACGGGGCCAAACTCTCCTGGGTGGTGGCCGGTGCCAGGACAAGGGGTGCCGGGGCCAAGCTGAAGCCCAGGCAGCTCCATGTCCATGTGAGGAAGAACTTCCTTGGTGTGAGGGTGCCGGAGCCCTGGCACAGGCTGCCCAGAGAGGCTGTGGAGGCTCCTGCTCTGGAGATCTCCAACCCGCCTGGATGCGCCCGGGTGCCCCGTGCTCTGGGTGTCCCTGCTGGAGCAGGGGCTGCACGGGGGGGTCCCGAGAGCTCCCTGCCACCCTCAGCCCCTCTGGGATTCTGTAGTACTTCCAGTTTGATGTCATCTGATACTTTCAATTCAATAGCATCTAAAGCCCCAGTTTAAAATGAAGGATAATGCTGCTCGTCCCCTAGCGTTTCCAACCCAACGAGAGACAAAAAGGATGGCTGAATCATCCTGACTTGCCTTTTACAGCTGGAAAACCGAGTGACAGTCACGCTGACCAATGACCTCCTCCCCTCGTGTTCTAACCACGAGGCGAGTCCTCGTCCACGCGCTGGGCCTAAAAAGGCCATTTATTTCCAGAGATTTATTTGCCATTGTGCTCGTGAGGAGCGTGCAGCACAGAGGCAGAGTTTAGGATTTGGAGAGAGCTTTACGATTCCCCAGAATTAACATTTCCCCATAAAAAAACTACCTGTTCTCAACAGGAAATGAAAGTCTCGCCGCAAAGCCGCGCTGCAAGACGGCTTCCCGCAACACTTCCCTGTGCCCCAAGGCTGCTGCGGAGAAATTCCCAAGCTCAGGAAGCACCTGGGCTTGCCCCAGCCGGGAGGCAGCTGGAGCTGGGCTACAATGTTAACCAAAAACACGCAGCGTTCCCGTTTCAGGCGTCTTGGATACAGACATCCCGAACGGATTGTGTCAGAGGTTCGCTTGGAAGTTTTCATCTTCAGCAGCTCCAGATTCCCTTGGAAGAAATGAAGGCACAAGGGAAAGAAAACACCTTTTTTTTTCCCCCCCTCAGCTTTTTGATCAGCTCTATATTACTTATAACAACTAGTAATGGCTCAGTGAGTACCTGGGATTTACACATATCACACTGAAACTAGGTGGAAAAAGGCCAAAACTCATAGGAATGGTAGAAAACTCGAATATGAGTGTTGGAAGCACAAACCAGCCAAGGGAGGAGGAGGAAGCCCACGGTTTGTCTGTCAACTTGCTGCTTTCCCCAGACGCCTAAAAGGTTCCTTTTTGCCCAGCCAAGCTGTAATGTTGGGGAAAAAAAAATCATTTAAAAGGGAGAAACCCTTCACGCTCTTCTTAATTGCTGCCTTCAAATTAAAATTATCTCTCCCCGTCTCCCACCGGCGCTTGCAGGGAGCGCGGGCAGAAAGCGCCGCCTCCTTCCCCGCTGAATAGAGCAGAACGGGCTGCTAAAAGTAATAAAGTATAATTGGCATGTGGGAATCCCAAGCGATATTTGGGAAGCTGGATTTAATCTTTTATGCTGCAATGCAGCTGCGGTACCTTCGGCGCGCGGCGCTCCTGCTTTTTCTCTCCTTTATCCGAGCTAATTTCCGGGGTTGTTCTGTGATCATTGCGGCACTGCGATTCCCTGAGGAACAGGGATTGCAAAAATTGCTAAAAAAGCTAATTTTGCTTTAGCTCGTGAGTGTTAGTGTGACTGGCATGGAGTGTTCAGCTTTTGGAGCAAGGCAGGACTTGACATATGCAATATGTCTTATTTCTGTTCCCTTTTTCATACCATTTAAATATTTGGTATGCCACATCAAATTTTAAAAACCTCTTTTGATTTGGAGAAAAGAAAAGGTCTTAACCATCTGCAAACCCCTTTGAAATTTTAAAAACCTCTTTTGATTTGGAAAAAAACAGGTCTTAAATATTCTGCAAACCCCTTCATGCTTTAGGTTAGGGATCTGCAGGTCACTTTATCACTTGCCAAACTGCAAATCATGCTGCTTTGCCCTGATAAAAATCTGAAATGGTCAAACTTAGGTGAACTTTACACCTGTGTTCAGGGTGAAAAGCATCGTATGGAAGTGATAGGTTGGAAGATGGAAACATAAAGCAATCAAAACCAGCTTTAATTGGGAAATCAAAGAAAAAATGATCTCGGCGTCGCAGCTTCGTTAGGGAAATGGTGCCCTCCTTTTCTGCTCAAGCTTTACGGGATCTCGCTGACCTGAAGATGATGGCCTGGATGAAGATGAAGGCCTGGAATAAATCACTCCCCGGAAGAGCAGTCAGCATTTTTAGGAGCAAATCACCAAGGAATGCAATTGTTAGCTAAAAAGGATGGGTTTTCCCGACCTTCCTTCCTTTCCTTTCCCCCCCAGAACGTCCTTGGCTAAATCATACAGACCGCAAAGGATACTAAAACTGTTGTCTTAATTAATAGTAATAATTGCTTTTAATATTTAGCTTTTTCTGTGTATATATCAGCTTTTCCTCTCCATTTGCACCCTTGATCACAAGCTTCTCAATTCCATATACAGCTGAATACGTTTTGAGCCTCAGTTGCCCACATCATTCAGCTCAAAATTCCCAGATTTAAACTGCACTAGGGGATGGATTATGGGCACATTTTTTAAGGAAAACACCCCCAAAATGCTCTCTTTTTTCAGCATGCATCTTATGCAACTCACACTGTGTTTCTGTGTTATTATTTTCAATGTTAATAAGAAGAGGTTTAAAAGTTACGGAAAATATGGGAGGAAAAATACAGGATGTGTTCTCGACAAATCCCAGTTTACTTTAAAAAAATCAAGGAAAGGGAAAATAAGATTTCTCATGTGAATGAAAATAGGGTGGGGTAAGAATGTAGAAACTGCTTTTAATAGGCCACCTAAAATAGAAAGAAGGAGGCAGCGACGATATGAATCTCCCTGTTATTTTGGGCTTTTGCTTTCATTGCTAAACAGGAAAATAAGTCACAGCAGCGTGAGGTAATGCCATTGAGTTCAGCAGCACCGTGGAGAGGTATCGCTGGCCAAACACAACATATATATGTATTTTTTTGCTGAATTCACTTAAAACTCTCCCTTATCTCTTCGCTTGCAGCGGGAGGGCCCATGGGCAGGTCTGATTTAGCTCTCTGCCTTCTGCGTGGGTCAAGTGGCTGGGATTTGTGTTTCGGCATGTTGCAAGGAAGAAGTGTTTTAAAATAAAAATCGCAGAGTTTGAGCTCGTTCTTCATCCCCTCCCAGGCATGCAGAGGGTCCAATAATGTTTTTTGGCCTGTGTTTTACTGTGTAAATGGTAATTTTCTCGAGGAACGTAGCAAGAGACCGGTGATGTTGTAGTGAGGAAGCCCTCAAAGCAAGTTACAGTACGTTCAACCCCGGCTCTTTTTGGCACAATATGTTATATCGCCTTAACCAAAGACAAATGTCCCAAAAGCCACCACATGTGCTACAAATTTCTGAAGTACAATGTTTATATAGTGCCTCGAATTAAAAAGCATCCCCGTCCTCAAAACCCTGAGCTAAATCGGAGCTGAGAAATGTCGTTGCTTGTAAAATGTCTTTTACCCTATGCTTAAAATATCTCCCCTACATCCTGAATGGTCTGTCTAGTATGTTTTAATAAAAAATCCATTTTGTTTGATGGTTTATCCATGATTCTTGTGAATAATTTTGATTTCTCTTCGTCCTCATCTGTCCTTCCACCTGATCACACTGTGACCCGCGCGGAGGAATTTTCCCCTTTCAATAACGGAATCACCGATAAGAAACGATCCCCTCAAAGCCTTTTTCGTCCCATTCTTGCACAACAGCACGCCGTGTTATTTAATTTAATCTAAAGCTCTGCAGATGACAGGTTTTCTTTTAATCTCATTTCCCTTTTTGCATTGGCAAAGGTGCTTTGACATCCAGGTTTCTTTGGGCTGCTTGGAGTAGAAAGCGGGAAGGGAACGGATGCTCTTGCACCACAGTAACGTGCGTTAGGATTTGGAGATTTGGTGCTTTGCTTTTTTCTTTTCCATCGCCTCTTCCCGATGGGAAATTCCCATCAACGTATCCAAATATCTTTCATTCTGCCCTAACCCAGCAGATTTTTGTGGTGGCCGCTTGAATGGGCTTTAATTTTTGCTGGAGCCCGAGCTATTTCTTAGGACTTGCACAAACCAATGCCAGCGCGTCCTTTAATTCATTGAAATCAGATATTTACTGCATCGACCCATAAAATATAAATGAAATTAAGTGCCACTCGCTTGTAAATTAGCAGGGGGCTTGCACTAAACCCTCTGTATTGATTAGCATTGGTTAATGAGCAAATAGTGCCCTGATATTAAGGGCCCGGGTTATGTCATTTCAAGGGTGGCGCGTGGTGATTTTGGGAGCTGCGGATGCCTCGGATTCCTCCATCCCTTTCTCTACAGAAATAAGATATCCCTAAGGTAATTCCCAGATCCGAACCCGCCCTCAACAAACAGTTATGGATATTTTTCCCAAGTGGATGGAAATCCTTTGATAAGGTGATGTTATTGAGGTGCTCAGTGGTGCCATCTAATGGAAATGAAGCCCTTCCTTCCTATCCAATGTGGAATCGGACCATCCAACACCTATTTCCATGGCTGGAGCAGGAGCAGGCTTTAAAAACACTGAATATGAGTGTCTTAAAGGATCCCTACGTGACTACGAGTGAAGCAAGTTGCCAAGTTCTTCCTGCTTTTCCTGAATTCTTTCCCTCTTCTCCTAGGCTCTGGATGGAAAC